TATAAAGATTTTCATATTGTATTATTTAATGCTATATCATTAGGCAAATGCTGGATCATTAGCAATTTATGTTAAAATAACTTACTTGTTGATTATCTGTGTTATTCACTCATTTAAACAAGCTATTGGAAAAAAGTTATTTGGTCAGTTTTTGTGTTTAATTTACACTTACCGGTATTCCATTACTTCTGAACAGAAAAGTACTGGGCGTTGCTATTCATTTGATATCTGATGGACATCTACTGGACATGTCACATCAACTTTGAGCTTTTCGTCACAACCAAGGGAAGAAAGCTGAAACGGGGTCAACAGCATGTTATATACATTTAAACAGAGGATATGTTGCCAAACATGTTGTCAACTATGCTGTTGTGTTGGAAATAAGGAAGCTGTATTGGCTTTGGAAAAACATCAAAAACATCAAAGTGCCTGTCTTTAGAATCCTTTTATAAAGCTTTAGGGAATCTTGAATTTGCAGCTACGACTGTGGAATACGTTGTTTTACAGTTTTTCAGCATCCCTTGTTTTTTCCGCTTTCTTAGCCTCATTCACAAAATATCTACCAAACAGCACTTTTGCCTTTGTTTTTGTTTTTCCAACTACGACCAAGAGGTATTTCCCGAGTTTAAAACTTTCATCCCCTGCTCGCTGTTTTTTAGGGTAAGCACTCACGCTTCAGTTAGACTTTAAAAGGATAGGATCGGAACTAATTGTGTGACTGCATCGTTGCTCTTTGAAAATATTCAGCTTTCGAAGGAAAAAAAATGGCGTAAGTGCCATACTGTAAGTGCAACGTCACTAGTATCTGTCCTGTATGAATTTGCATGCATTGAACATTGTTTACGAATTCTGCAGCTGATTAAATTTCCTCAAAAATCCAAGATCTTGAAATCTATTGACTAAACTTTATCTAAACTTTTTTGCTCCTCATACGCCAAAAAGTTAGAAGCCAAGCAATCTTGTATGTCTCTGTAGAGTCTGGTTGTAATCAAAAAGACAGAAGCTGTTATGACTACTGTAGTTCAGTTTTCCACCCCCGTGGTCTTTTACTGTTATTGCCTTTGTGCAGTCTTATAAATCTAGGCCAAAGTTACAACAGAACCAACAAGAACAACGAAAAAATGTTTTTATCACCTCTGATGCGAGTGACAATGAATCCCATTGTTGACTAAGTGTGAGAGCAGAGATCCAGCTTCTGACCTTTCCAAGGAACGCAGCACAGTTTGCAGACAGTGCTCACAATCTCAAAGAAATGTGCGGCCAGAAAAAAAAACAAACAGAACAAAACAAGTCAAACTAAAACACAGTGCTGTTTTTGATAAATCTGATATTGTTTGAAAGATAAGAAAAAAGATTTGTCCTGAAAAAACAATCTTTACAAAAGATATGAGGAAATTCAGAATAAAGTAAAATTGCATTTATGCGATTTAGTTCACTACAACTTTGAATTTTAATTAAGACACATTTCTGTCCATTACTATAAAAATGTAAAGTTAAAAGTGGTTTTGAGAACATTCCACTCTGTGGTTCAAAAAGAAAATAAAAATAACTTTGAATAACTAAATTCAGCCTAACATGGAGCTAAAGAGGCTGTAATAGCATTTCAGCACACTAAAAGCTGATCCAAGTGATGGATTTGGTTCCACTCATCTTCATCCAGGTCAAAGGGTTATGTTTATAGTGAACAAGACCCTGGTCTTCTCTCTTTCTTGGATTGAGATTGGTGCCTATTGAGAGCTTGCATCCCCCCAAAGGCCTTGGTAAACCCACGTTTCTCCTACGTGTGTGCTGGTGCATGTATGCGTGTGTGTGGGTATGTGTGTTTAGTATATATATATATATATATATATATGTGTGTGTGTGTGTGCATGAGTCACGTCTGGGGCAGAGCATGTCTGTGATTGGTGAGGTGGAGAATTCAGCAGGGAGGACTGTGCAGGGCGAAGAGCTGTCTCCATAATCCAGGGTAAACACCGAGCAGCATGACTGCACGCCTCAAACGTGACCAAAGCTGGGAGAACAGAAATGGATGAAATGATGAGGCTGCCGCTCGCCTGCATGCCTGCCCACTTTTGCTCCAGATTTTTCCCTGTTTTGTAACACCTTTGAGAATTTGAAGAGGTAGATTCTCAACAATAAATTAACCTCTGGGTGGCACCGCAGGTGTCGACTGTTTAAGGTCATGCCAGACTCAAACCAAGCTCTGCAAATATCATTTAGTCTGCTATTTACTGCCAGATCTCAAGAGTCCAGGCCTATTTGTCATTTAAAGTTAAGAAAAGGAAAGTTCTTAATGCCCCAAAGACGTTTTACGTGTAAATCGCAGAAAAGATCTTTATCTGGAACTTTGTTTGAAAAGATATTCAAGCTAATGGGTTCTCCTTTGATGCCGCTAAGCAGGGACGACACAGTTGGGAAACACAAAAGCACTCAACTGCTTCATTTTAAAGTAGCAGAAGAACTGGGACAAAAGGTTCAGTCAGATTTTTATGATCCAGATTTCAAAAGGCTTTTTACTGCATTGCATGCCATTCTGCTGTGGAAGATTCAAAAAAAGGAATCCCACAATGAACCAAAAGCTTTTGTTTGACCAACACTTTGGGCTAGAAATAAAATGTTGAAATAAAAAGATAAATAAGCACACAATCTGTTGAAAGAGAGAGACTCCTCTACCCTCATAGCTGATGATTTCAGGGATTTTCAGTAGGAATTTTTTAGATTACATTTTGCCCAAAACAGATGATGTCGTTGTAAGAGCCAAGTTATTCTGCCAAATCTTAGTGTTTAGAGAAAAAGATCAAAGTAAACCCAAATTTTCATGTAAAATAAAAAAAAGGCAAAACAAGAGAAATCCCTTTTATTTATTTAAAGGTTAGGACTGATATTAAAAAGAGAAAAATGATTCAATTAACTCATGTAAATGTCCTGTGGTAAAGCAAACACTAACTTCAAATGTAAATGCCACAGAAAAGGTCTGACGGATATTACTCGCCAATTACAGTTGGGGTTGCTCATACTGAGGCTGCCAAATTGAGCAGAGTAGGTCGAGGCACTTGAGTAACTTGTCCTGCTGTGTGAGCCTTATGGGGACAGATGGACAGTAGATGCTGGAGTGGAGCTTAATTCAGCCCTGCCTACTCAGTCCATCCGCTCCTTCCCTGGCTCCAGCTCAACTCAGCTGGACATCCTGTTAGTCAGCTAAAGGAGAACACCTAACATAGCTAGACCCAAGTATTAGGATCTGCCATTTCTGTCTTCATTTAACCTTTACCTACAAGCCTCACTGTGATCACATTCTGTTAAGGTTAGCACCAGCCAAAAAACGACTGGTTGGAGATTAAGCCTTTTAACATTCGGTAAGAAATGTAAAGGTCTTTAAACAAAACAAACAAACAAGAAGACATTAGGATTGTGTTGAAGTGTTTTCTGATTACCGAAAAAACTGAAGTCACCTGCCGCCATCTTGTTACTCCCCACTTTCACAGAATCGCACCGTAAAAATGCATTTAATGTAACGTAATTTCCATAACAATGCAATCAATACATGTATTTTACATTTACAATGTATAAAAAATTTTCAGAACATCCAGTTATCCATTTTCACTTGTTCAACTTCGGCACTTATATATTGCTTAATATTGTTTAATATTTGGTTGCTATTACCTGAAATAATCAGGTAACAGCAACTAGAGAGTAATTGCTATCAAACCCTTTCATATTTTACTAACTATGATATAAACCTTCCTGAAAAATGTAAACTATTTATAATTTGATGGTACTATTTTTAGTCTTTAGTCTTATACTTTTTCTAAATATAAGGTTTCCAAAGCCCCGCCATCTTGACTGACAATTTAACAGTGTAACATTTAAAACAGCATAGTTTTAAAACATACAGTTTGTTGTGTGGGGAAAGGGATCAGCCTCCTGACAACCCTACAAGAGCAGGAGGGTTTAGACATTAAAATGGATTGATGTCATAACCCTTACCTATGCACTACAGCACAGATAGTTTGCATATACCAATAGTATCCGTAACACGGTTTGGGAAGCATAGAAGTAGAGGGAAGATGATGGAATTACTTATTTCAGAGAGTAAATTAAATCATGAAAATGTATGACTAAATATCCTCCAGGTATTATGATTCCACAGTCGTTGCCAATGGCTGTTTGCATCTCTTTCACAAAATATCTTGAGGGAAAAATATGAAAAACAAACAAAACGAAACAACAAAATGCTAAAATAATTATCCCTTTATTTCTATCTGAAACATCTTCCAAAGACAAAACAACATTAGGGACAAAAAATAAGAAACTTAATAAATACATGAAATCAGCTGAGCATTCTCATATGTAACTCTCACCTCCTTTCAGTCAGTCTGCTTGTCAGACTCTGTTTGTCTTGTTGGAACATCAATATCAAATATGCAAGTAAAATTAAACAGGGAAGAGTGAGGGTTGATGCTGCCTGGCTCTGAATCTCTAATGACTCCTTACCATCCTTGGAAAAAGCCTGATTAATTTAGGAATCAACTGCAATGAAGAGTGATTAATTCCTCCTGGATTCAACCATTTAAATGAACAAGAGGGAGGGGAGCAGGGAAAACACAGAGCCCAAAATATGGATGCCTAATTAATGCATTCAGATAATTTAATTAGCCACCCAAAAAAAGGGAATGCATGGTTACATTGTGTCATTGCTTTGTTCGAAAGGCAAGCTGGTTTGTCTTACAAAGCAGCCAATATAATAGGCCTCCCCGATGTAAGATTGGACTGTCTCACTGGTTAGTAAATATAGGCAGGCACTTAGAACACATGATTACATGTTTTTTTTGTGTTTTGCATCTGACTAAGCAGGGATAAAAGAAAAAAACAAGCCCATGTATTTCTAGGTCTTCAAATGAAGTGTCTTATTATATCTTGAGAGCTAATTTCTCTCACTTGAAATAATCAATGGTTTGTTTATATTTATAAGCAATTCTCTCTCTTTTTTTCCTCTTTAGAATGATGTGAAGATCACTTCAGACAAGGCCACTTCTCAGCTCATTTTTCCTCAGCGCAATCAAACCGTTTGCTGGTACGCAACCCCATTCATCTGAGCTTGGTATTCAGTGGAGCCCTGTGGGGATGGGGACATGCTCAGATAAAGGATGGACTTACTACAGCCTCAGAAAAGGTCACCGCCCTCCAAAGGTTATGTCGTGGCCCCTGGCCCTGTGTCTATTGACTCTAGTATTTTTGAATCAAAAGAAGACCCTTGGACAGACAATGAACACCTTCCAGTCAGAGAGGAGGGAATGGCCATTGAACCATCTGACGGTGCATCAGTCCACTGGGACTCTGTACATCGGAGCAGTCAACCGGATCTACAAAATGTCTGCCAATCTCACCCTTTTGGTATCCCATGACACTGGTCCAGAGTACGATAACAAAGCATGTTATCCTCCCTTGATAGTTCAACCCTGTTCTGAGCCTTTGGCCTCGACGGACAACGTCAACAAACTGCTGCTCATTGACTACTCCCACAATCGGCTGCTGGCTTGTGGCAGTCTTTATCAGGGCATCTGTAAGCTGATGAGGCTAGATGACTTATTCATCCTAGTAGAGCCCACTCATAAGAAAGAACACTATCTGTCAAGTGACAACCAAACAGGAACAATGTACGGGGTCATCGTTCCCTCTCAGGGACAGGATGCCACTCTGTACATTGGCACTGCTGTTGGCGGCAAACAGGATTACTTTCCAACTATCTCCAGCCGTAAGCTGCCCCGTGACCCAGAGTCCTCTGCCATGCTCGACTACGAGCTTCACACTGATTTTGTTTCATCTCTTATCAAAATCCCTTCTGACACGCTAGCTCTTGTTCCACATTTTGACATCTACTACATCTATGGTTTCTCCAGTGGAGCCTTTGTGTATTTCATGACTGTCCAGCCAGAGACGCCAGAGAACGGGATGCCTGCTGGCGGCTCCCCTGGTGACCTATTTTACACGTCTCGCATCATCCGGCTCTGTAAAGGTGACAAAAAGTTCCATTCGTACGTTTCTCTTCCGGTGGGCTGCGTACATAGAGGTGAGGAGTACCGTCTGCTGCAGGCGGCTTACCTCTCTAAGGCCGGCAGGGTGCTGGCTAAGTCGCTCAACATCAGTGCTCAGGAGGATGTCCTCTTTGCCGTGTTCTCCAAAGGACAAAAGCAGTATCATGACCCTTCAGATCACTCGGCTCTTTGCATTTTTACCATCCAAGCCATCAACATGCGAATTAGGGAGCGACTACAGTCCTGCTACCAGGGAGAGGGAAACCTGGAGCTCCACTGGCTGCTAGGAAAAGACGTACAGTGCACAAAGGCTGTGAGTAGACACATTATTTTAGACCACATCACAAACAGTGGTGTGAACAAAGAATTAGGTTTTAACCATTTTTCTTTCCTTTAACTGTTCCATAACTATGATTCTAACTTTAACATCTAATAGGCAGTCAGTCTGGGCCGTTCTGCATAAAGCATTCAGGTCTGAGGATCCCATTACTGTGGTATTGCTTGGGGAGATAAATTCCACAATGCTAATCAGGGGAGTTTTGTATAGAGCTTTGATTTCATTCAGGGGTTTGAACACTGAATCCCACCTCCTTCTCCACCTCTCTTTTCTGCCTCTCTCTCCCTAATTTTCTTTCTCCTGCTCTTGTCGCTGTCAGCAGTACTCGATCCCTTTGAGACCTGTTCTTGATCTTGAGAAAAAGGCCTTTCTTGTAAATGTCCAAGTCTGGGTCTTTGTGAAAGCTGTAATTCTGCATAATGAGCACCTCTCTTGGAAATAAGCTGAAAATGAAGCATAAAAAACATTAAAATCCTTCACAGGATTTGCTGTAATGATCCGTAACTCATACTTTGATTCCATCCTGAAATTCTCTATAAATAAGATGTAACTTGTACAGAAAAGCGTCAGATAAGGAAACATGTTAGGTAGTTATTGAACAATAGTCTCCAACTGGGGAGCAAGACTCTCTCTATATAGTAATCTGACAAAGAAAAAAACGATCAGTCGCTGTTTAGTATTTCTTTAAGCGCACTGTAAGCAAAATAGAAAGATCAACACTAACATTTGTCTCTGCAGTACAATCCCAATGCTGATATAAAAGGAAATGACAAAAAGATATACTTTAATTGAATGATAACCATTTCCTTCCTCACATGTTTAGAGTTATAAAGGCAATAGGTTAGAATCCGCAAATTTCTTAGATGATAAGGTAAATTTGATTGATATTTTACAGTGCACGCCCCACTCAGAGATTTTTTTGCACAAGTTTTGTGCACAATTCTAGCAAAGGTTACTTTTGTTTGTTTTTTAGGAACCTGACCTAACAAATATCTCAACTCAAATGTCTTAACAATGAAAACTAAGTAGTAGGATATGGTATTAATTTCTCTTAAAACATGTAAAACGTTATCGAGCTGTTTCTGCAAAACCTGGTAAAAGTCAGCATAATGGAACCGAGTTAACTGAATATAAAGTAAAACCATCTAGAAGAATTACATCATATCTCCTTTGACTTTTCAGACTGATTGCAGCCAGTTTTATTCTCTTTTTTCTGCAAATCTAACTTTGTATAAGCACACCATATCACAAGATGCATAATTTATTGTAAGAAGTTAAATTGAGAATAAAATAAGGCTGTGTCCCACTGATCCTTTGAGTGTAAAAACCTTTGATTCAGTATCCACTCATTGTTGAATAATGCTTTAATTATCGTCACTAAACAGGCTCCTTTAAAAGCCTTTTGGTTTAGAAAAGACATTGATGCGTTCAGGTATTACATCATATGTTAAAGGGGGCAGTCAGAGTTACACAGCAACACTGTGAAAACGAGAGTACAAACTGTTTTTAGTATAATAGTAGCATTTAGCACAGTTAGCATTACTAATCAGGAGTCTCTTTGTTATCCCTATAGAGTAGGAAGCTTATGACTAATACTAATACTAACTACTATTACTAATACTAACTACTGTTACTTTTAGTCTTCCTGTTATTTGTTATCTTATTGTGTAGCAGGTTAGTTGAGTAGTCAAAATATCTTAATAAAAAGTTTTTTAATAAGTAAAATATCTAACTTTTTGTCTTCCTTCAGTAACTAACACTGAAGATGCTGGTGTGATCGGGTTGTGATTATGCATGCTTTAACTGTGGAAAAAGATCATTTAGGTTTTAAATATGTAAAGAGCTAGTCAAAGGTCAAATTCTTTAAAGTGCATAAATTCAGTTAAGTTTCTTAATACTTTTTAAAAATTGAAATGCCATACAGAGTAAAACCTATTGAGTAGAGTACCATGAATCTAGACTTAAAACTATTGCTAGACTTGCTTTAAGCCCTTTTTAAACTGTCTTGATGTAAGTAGGACTGACTGGGAGATGAATACAGAAATGTGGTCTTTTGCTTTCTATAATGTGTCAATTAATCTCTTTTTTTGTAGTGAATAAAGAAAAAGCCATAAACCAACACTCTCAATTTAGTAGACTGCCCATTATCTATCCCTCAGCTTTGATCTTGAAATATAGATTATGACTGTAAGAAAATGATCCCAGATACTTGTAGCAAAAAAGAGCTTTCTCCGTTAGGTTCCCAGGCTTTGTTTCGGAGTCAGGGTGTGGAGCTCTATCATCTGAGAAAAGCAGGGTGAAAAACCTTGACATATCTGAATGGAATTGAACAGAACAAAATAGAATAGAATAGAATGGAAATAGCTCTATCCAACAATCGGTAAATTCAGCAGCAAAGCAAAAAGGCAAATGAAAGGATTGAGGTACACACTAGAAAAAAAATGAGAAGTTCAGAAGTTTTGCTGGAGTATCCCACTGAGAAGATCCTCTGGGAAATATCTGAAAATGGTCATTTAGACAAAGAAATTTTATTAATTTTTTTCTGATATCATGAATGCATATTCTGTAAAACTAGTACATATGAACACGGCTTGCCATAGAGTTCTGAAAATATTAAAGGATTATTTCTTGAATAATGCAGCAGGTGAAAATGAATAATTAAAAGGTTGTTCTAATATATAGAACCTGTGCATCATCTCATGCGATCCTCCTCATGTTGATTCAGTCTTCTTTTACACAATTAAGTGGATGTTTGCAGACAAACGGCCGTTATAAGCGGCTATCATTTCCATAGACTGGCTTCAGATTGTGCCAGTAGACTCATTAGGGTGTTATCATCGAGTGAATCCTAACCCTAAATTAATTCCTTTTCCCCCGCGGAATTAATGTATCTATTTTTGTGTAATCTGAAAATATTTTCAGTAGTTCTTCATGTACTGTAAATATACCTAAATAAAAATAAAATGATCTGCATCTCACTCATATTAAACAAACTAAAAACAAGTAATCTCCTGTCATGTCAACAGAGTTGTAGAATTCTCTCCCTATTAATATTTAATTCTTTCTGAAAAAGTTAATATCATTCTTTAATAAGATCCTCATCAAACAAATTGTCAATGTTGCCCTGTTTTAAGGTTTAGACTAGTCTGAGTTTTCAGTAAACCTACTTCATGAAACAGACCCCTGGTCTAAAATAAATGAAAGACAAGAGATGGATAAATAAATAATTGTTCCTGATTTTATTCATTCACCTATAGATTATTGTTTTTGTACACAAAGCTAACAGAGATGTGCTTCCTCTAAGGTACAAACCAAGCAATAAGCTCAATAATTGAATCTGAGGAAGAAACGTTTTTCAATGTTTACTTAAAGTTGTTAAATTTTTCATGATCAAGATTGGTGGTCAAAGCAGAGAGTCAGATGATAAAGTTTCTTAATGTTAAACTTGCTGCACAAATCACTTTTAGTAAAACTAGGGCATATGATTTGATGAAAGATAAAAAGCACAGTAAAACCTCACATTAGCATAAAGAAGAGATGTAAAATAAAAAATAAATAAAAAATAAACTTTCTTAAAATGAGTCTTTTATATTAAGTGACAGACAATTAGCAAAAGTTTGAGGTGCATGTTAGCAGATGTGGAAGAAGGACTGCTGAGCATTCAGACTGTCTTTGATGCTTGACATTGCTTGCTGTGTGTTTGTGTGATGTCAGATCAAGCAATCTAAAAATCACAGAAACAGCCACAAAATAAACAGTTTTCTTCTGTTTGCCATGAGCAATTAACCCTGCAGCATGAAACTGCTGGCACCACGGCTTGTTGAAAAGCCCATCAGCCCTTTTGATGTAATATTTTCAACACTCAAAAAGGTGAACTTCATCTTCTTTAGGCTTTCTGAGAGTCAGTTTGGATTTTTATCCTATACTCGTATGTGTCTACAGTGATCTTAGTCCTCCACATACAGCCCTCACCTCTGTAATTATCTCTAGCTTCTTTCTTATTTTGTTCCTTCTCAACAAGCCTCTCTGTTTTTGCCTTCATCCACCTCTTACCTCTTCTCTTCATGCCTCTTTTTTTTATCATTAATTTTTTTCTATCCTGATCTTGACCTTCTGTGTTTCTCCCTGCAGCCGGTTCCCATCGATGATCACTTCTGTGGCCTGGATATTAACCAACCCCTGGGTGGCTCCCAGCTAGTGTCCGGTCGGACGGTGTTTACAGAGCGGAGGGACCGGCTTACCTCTGTCACTTCCTATCTGTACAACGGACACAACGTGGTCTTTCTGGGCACAAGGAGTGGACGTCTAAAAAAGGTGAGAGCAGCTACAAGTTGCATAGTTACTCAGACCTTGACCTCTATTAAAAGTCTGCTTAAGCCTATAAGAACAGATGAAAATAACCTACCATATCAACAGTTTCGATGTTTCAGTGAGTGAGTGCTTGTTGCTATGATGCGTCTTTGCTCAGCAGCTTCGCTCGTTGTAAACCTATCAATCAGCGCAGAGCTCATCTAAATATTCATGAGCATACCATAAAAGGAAGAAAACCTGTCGTTTCATTCTGGGGCTTTTAACCAGCATTAAGGTTCATAGAGCAGCAAATATGCCAACCAATGTTACACATCCTGTTCAGAGACCTTAAAGTCCAGCACCAAATACCCTATATAATCATTCTATGACCCCTTTCAATGAGTGTTGCTGTTCTCATAGCTCATACAAGCTTACTGGGCCTGAACGTCCGCCCTAACTCCTAAATCCTTCAAACTCAGTAAACTTACCATTCAGACGGATGATCATTGCTTTTTGCTCCGTTGGTCACATAACTCCTCCTCCACCATGTATCCAGTGCTTACACCATCTTTGTTATTAGTCGCCGCTGTCGGGTAGCAACAGTCTATGGCGACAGCGCGCCGCTGATCCCATAATGCTTTGCAAGGAGAGCTCTCCGTGCAAAGCATTCCGGGATATATCTGCCTCTTCTGAGGCCTGTCTTTTCTTCTCATATACTTCTTAGACACTATCTCTCTTACAATCCTCTGACATTTTCAAAGAACCAAGGTGAGAAAGGTGAGCTTCAATGACGGGCTGAAACCGTAGCTAACCACACATTTACGTCTGAGAGCCCATGCACAGAAAAAGACAGCTAAAGAGATGAGCATGTAGGACGGCCTTACGTAAACATATCACCAGAATGATTGACAATTAGGAGGACCACTTATTTAGATGATCCACCTGAAAAAAAAGATTGTCCTTTATACCTTTAAGTTAAGCATATATCCATGTATTTAACCTCAGTCACAGAACATCATCTAGATAAGTTCAATGCAGTGATATAAATACTTTTCTGGTTGGAAGCATTTTATTCTGCTAATTATAATGAATCCATCTCAAATATACAATCATTTGTAACAGAAAATGTCCTATTTGAAAGAAAATCATAAAATATAAAGCAAATACATAATTGAACATTTAGATAGTTAATGAATGCATGCAGAACACCTCTGACAGTTTTTTTTCCTCTCCTTCCAAAGAGTCAGAATGTATTGCAGTCCTATAAATCAGAATTTTTGCAAAGTTTTTCTCTTTTTTTAAGACTTCTTTTCAAATCATAATCTCTCCAGCTGTTATTTACATAAACACATCAGCTTATTTTATAGTGTGTGTTTTAAAAAAAAAAAGCAAACCAGTGCGGTTTTATGTTGACAAGTAATGTAATACTGCGTTATTTCATCCATTTTATTTGAAGAAAAGTAATTAAATCATAAGATCTGGAAAATAGTTTAGATATTGTGTATGTAGATAAAGAGAGGGCTGGTTTTATTAGACATAGGTTCCCCATGACCATTGTCTGGCAGGATTAGCAAAAAAAAAGGAACTTATATAAATGTTAAATATCAATAAAGTTGATTACCGGTATTAACTAATCTAACAAAAAAAAAATCTATATTCTAAGATTTAATCTAAATTCTCATACAATCCTAAGTTTTTCGGGGTCATGTTTTTAAGCAATAACACACAAAAGGCAAAAAAAAGGGAAAGCTTTTTTGTTCTGCTCATTTTTACATTCACCAAATCAGCATCCTAACAGCATGTCTAGTGCCTAAAGTTGAAGTTGGTTATCTTTATAGTTCTTGCATTCTACTTTTAGCTCAAGCATGAGTCAGGATAGATAAAAATGTGGTGTGAAAATGTGAAGCAATCCACAAAACCCTGTGACCTGCAATAAAAATGTGAGTCAGTCATCCAAACATTTGCAATCAGCAATAAAAAAAAAAAACTAAATTGCACATAAATCAACCGAAATATGAATCAGTTCAGTTTTTTATTTACTGTAGGAGCAAACGATGAAACTGAACCACATTTACCCTTAAATGAATGCAACACATCCCAAGAATGTTGGAAACCACAGCAAATGGATGTAACTATTTCTCAGTGTTTTTTCACATTCTGATGAAATGTACATCGGTCTGTACAGTGAGGAGCTTAAAATGAGTGTCTGTTGTCCAAGGGGCTCTATCATTCTCAATGAGAATGCAGTGGAGGCAGATCACCAGATTATTTCCGGGTGTGATTGTAATCTTTTAGCTTGGACAAGGTGTAGACAATCACGCAAATCCATACATAGCTGTGTAAGGTTCTGTTTTACTGTGGAACAAAAGAGGCTGTGAGGCTACTGTAGGACATCATAAATGGAAGAATTTGGAGAGAGTGTGTTTTGTTCAGACCTGAGAGGATTTGATGATGCATGGCTTATCGGCCAGTTTAGATTTCCCTGGGGAATTATTTTGGAGCTTTGCACTGGACTGGCTCCAGCTTTTCAGAAGGAAACCGGGAGAACTGAGGGTTCTGGTTTAAGCTCTGGCTCGGCTGGGGTTCTTCAAAACCAGAGAATTGTTGGGGAGCTGGCTGACAGGTCAGACAATTAAAATTTAACACTAAGCCATGCAATACCAGCCCTATGGGATGTATAAAAAAAGATATATCGAATTTATTCACACTGTGGCTGAAAAAAATATTTCACCTGCACTGGACTAATGAGTGCAAATCCATATGTCCTGATTTAACATATCTCCATAGTACCTGTATTTCACATCAATGAATTTACTTTATTTTCCCCATGTAAGCCTTCTGAGTGTTTATAGTGCTATGCCTCTTCATTCAAAGGGATTATTCTAGGTGGTGCCTTCAGCCGCTTAGATTTTCATGCAAGTTAGCATGTACTCAGTTTATTCAGTTTTAATTATAAAGCATCAACTCACAATACTTCATCACAAGGCCCTTTCCAAAGAGGTTTCATTCAAATTGTACAGACAGATTGGTTAAAAGTGTTCTATCTAAGGTAACCCAGCATGTGCTTCCAGTCATTAACTTTGCAGGATTTGCTCCTTGTTGATGAGCAATTGTGCATTATGAAATTGAAACTGAGGATGACTGGGAACTCAATAACACAGAAGCAGACATGCAAGAGAAACACAGAAGCACTGATACTTGAATTATTTCCTGCACATGTTTTCCTTTCAAAAATTGTTAAAAGACAGATAATACAATTATTTAAAATTAAAACTGATTCAAAAGCTATGTCCAGGAGAGAAACAGGACTTAACATGAACTGGCTCTATTGTCTACAAGGGGAGCTGGTGAAGGGAGCAGCTCAGCTGATGCCTTGATTCACGTTTGTGTGCAGCGATGATGAGAGAAAAAAAAATTTAACCATAAAGTTTGGGGTTGAACTAACAAATAATGTTTAACTGGAGAATTGAAGTACAATGTAGGAGAGTGAGGAAATGTTCCCCAGCATCCTAAGCCTGAATGTAAATCACTTTATTGACCAACAATGGGGAAATGAACTCTCTGCATTTTTAACCCATCCTCTTGGGGAGCAATGGGATGCCATTGTGTGGCGCACAGGGAGCAGTATGGGGTTAAGGGTTTTACTCAGGAACCCAGAGTGGAGTCTTTAAGGATTAAACCGGGTAGTTGCAATCTTCTTAGAGCACAAGCGCACTGCTCTAACCACTAGGGCACCACTCTCCCACAATATTCTATATCAGAACAATCTGCATGGGGACTTTAAGCTTAATTTAATCTTAACCTTAAGCTTAATAATCAAATCATCATCATCATCATCATCATCATCATCATCATCATCATCATCATCATCATCATCATCATCATCATCATCATCAATTATCATGAAACATTAGTGATTGTGAAGGAAAAGCGCAGAGAAAATGTATGTTCATTTTTATACATTTACCCCTGCATGTTATAGTGTTAATCACTCAAAATCTTGCCCTATTTTCAGGATTTTTTTAAACTTTAAAATTAGCCTTCTTTTGTTCCAAACTGCCATTTTTTTGTCTCTGAACAACAATCATCTAATTAGAGCATCAAAATAATGAATGTCAATGCGTTTTTTTTTAGGGATCAGCTTAGCTGTACTCAATAGAACTTAAATGTAAGAAATGATAGTTGCCTTTGAGTGCAGAGTTGGTCTTGGAAGTCAGAATTTTCAAAGACAAAAACAGCAATGGCAACTTTTGGAGACAGCTATAGAGAAAAATCGAAAATGCTCATTAATCCTGGCTGCAGCTCTTAGCAGGTCTCTAAAGAAATAAATACTTGTGTTGTCTGTAGACAATTAAAAGGGTTGTAAACCCCTGAAATGTCGTTAAGGTGTTAAAGAAGTGAAGAAAAATACCGCATGATTTCTAAAGGTGTTAACAGCGTTCAGTGGATAACTACTTTTAATCCTCATATGGTTCCTAAACAAGTTCTGAGTAACCTGCATGTTCACGGCACTAAGAGGTTTGATTAGATTTTTTTTCTTGAAAAATTATAAAGATTACAAGTTTTTACTGTACCACTTTCAAGAACTTAGTGGATGACTTTTGAGATTTTTTGCTGCAGAAGGGCAAGTTTAAAAATTGCTTTTAGAAATTCATGTTTTGATCTTTATCTGTTTTCATTGCTCCAACCAAGTTACAGAATCAATTCACAGATTATCTTATTATATTTTTTCCTAAAAAACTAGCTGTTAAATGTTTTTTTTAAATAATCTCCAAAACTACCAATAAGCATGGAAATATTTTGTTATGTGACATTTTTGGATATTGCCTTGCAACAAAGAAAAAAAAGGGAAAGCTCTCGACTTCTAATTTAATGTTTCCTAAGGCTCCTGCCAGGGAATAATAAAATACCAATCTTTCTTTGTCCTGGCCAGGAATATGTTAATGAAGGCTAACCGTCTAGTGGTCAAATGAGGCTACTTGTAATCCCCGTCAAGCATTTAGCTGATGCTTGATGTTTCACAG